CAATAACAGCTCCAAGGCAATCTCCTCACAGCTTCCGGTGAGACCAACTTACGAGTCCCTTCCACTCGCCTCTTCAAACGAAATTAAAGGTACTCAAACGTATCAACAACTGCTGTCTAAATTAATATGTAACTGCTGACATGATTCACTAGTCTAAATATTCGGCTGCATTTGATCTCAATATGTAGTTCTTAATCAACTTAGCAGAACTGAAAGCCCATAAGATCGAATTAGCGACTCTTGGTAAATGTTTTATTAGGCTCATGAGACTTAGCACTGAATACATGAAAAGAGGAACTTGCTTACAGTGGATCCAGATGCTTGCTGAAGAGTAGCACTTCCCGGTCCCTGAAGCGCTACTGGAATGGCCGTATGACTAGTGGAGGCTATCTGATTGAAGTTATTTCGTAACAGATTGTTGATTGCTCCAGCCGCGGGCCTTAGGACGCCAGAATGAGCTAGGCTAACCTCCTCAACGCGATGTCGAGTGGGAAGAGTACCTGTAAGATTCTGGATCAGATTGGCCCTTTACGGATGGGAACGAAAATCGAAGTAAAAATAAAATGGTTAGATTAAATAAACAAAAGTTAAGGAGCTGATAGTATTTGTGAGAAGATAAGTAAGTTGTCTATATGAGTAATACTAAAGATTAACAAAAATGAACGATCAAAATGAGATTTATATGTAAAATAATGTCAAAGAATACTAAATCCATAAAGCATGGATGTCTTGTTTAAATTATGATAGGAGTGTCGTGATAGATATCGCAGTGCCATAGCATAGAACAAATTGCTACAAATACAGAAGTTGGGCGCAATAACATAGTCATGCGATATAATATGTGGCGTTTATTCAAAACAGCCGTGTCTTTGTGATAGAAGATAGGGGCTTAAAAAGTAAAAAATAGACAGAAAATCTCACTTTTCAGGTTCTACATTTTCCTCAACAATTGTACTCTCTTCGTCGCCTTCAAGAAGCGCAGCCTCGCGATTCCTCTGCTTCCTCATAATAATATCAATATATCCGGAGAGTAGCTGGGCGATCCTCTCACCCTCTGTCGTCTGGATTACATAGTTGCCGCCAGGACAGTGCTCACCAAAATCCTAATGGATAAAATAAGAATAATAAAGTGAATAAAAAGGATAAAAGGCCTGCTTTTAAAACAATCACTAAGATCATCTTAAAAGAGTCATTTTGCTTAATTCGGTAGAATTAAAAAAATACTATTGATTTTATTTTGGTATTAACCAGAAACTAGTTTAATTTATTAGATAAATGGAGAAACTTAAGAACATGATGCCATCTTCTGATGCAAAATATCAGATGAAAGCAAAAAATTTCTAATAAAAAAAAATCATACCAATATTCAACAAATTGAAATTTTTAGGGGTAAAATAATTTGTGTCTTCAGAGAAGTAAAATAATAATGAAAATTGGATGCTGGTTCTAGCTCACTAAAAACTGTTCAGATTAAATACACAAATTAAAAAAATGTGAAACCAGATAGCGCTCAGATATAAAACTAAAAATATCACGTTAAATCAACATGGTAATATGACTAGAAGTGGTATATAAATTCACTGTTTGTAATTCCAAATGCCTAAAACATAAGCAAGTTATTCAAGGATTTAGTGGATGAATAGACAGCGGATTTTCAGACAACTAAGGCATTAAACAGAGATATTATGGCCCATAAAAGCATTTGCACTTAAATAAGGCTTTAGTGAGCTCAACCTTCAGAAAATTGAGTCTTAAAGAAATATGATTTTACATTTTAACAAGGTCTTTAGAAATTAATTAAAGGCTAGGAAAATAAAACCTACAAACTAAAATAGAATGGAATTTAGCGGCTTAAGCAGATAAGGAGACCATAATCTTCTAAAATTTCTCAGGTATTTTTAAAAAGTTGGGAGAGGCTCAGTTAAATATTCATGTGAGTTCTAAAATAGCACAAAAATATAATCATTAATACAAATGTATGATTATATATACGAAGACTAAGATGGTGTGAGCTTGAGTTTAGTCGCAGTCGCCTCTAGCCGTATAATGTTGGTTTGACCTCATTTTTGTAACTTAGTCACTAGAAAAGAGGGACCTTGTAGAAAGTACCTAATTTTGCTTTCTCTGGAATAGCGATCATGGTAATTTTGAGACCAGACCAATGATTTGGCACATTGCCAGATGATAAAGTGGAGATAGATAATTAAGGCATATGAAATAGGTTCGAGGAATAAAAATAGAGTGCAAAAATCTGGAATAGAGGAAGGAGAGATACCATTACAAATGAAAGGAAAATTGGTCAAGGGGTTTGCCTTCACTTATCTCCTTGATGAGTGTTGTAAATCCGTTTTAAGGATGCTGCTTCTAACTGAGAATGCCGGCGAAACGTCTGGGAATGTACAAATTCAAAGCTCCGACAATGGAGATTATCAGGAGGAATACTATGACAAAGAACGCAAGGCTGGGTATGTTCCGCAAGGTCTTCCTTTACCCCCAACCAAGTGGTGAAAACGAGGCCAAACCAAGACTATACATAATTTGATTATGTTCAAGTCCTGCGGAAGACAAAAAGTCAAAGGCAAATACAGGTGATGGATTCAGATTAGGTTAAGCGGATAGCAGCTTAAAACCAACATCCGATAGACAAGGCGTGTTATATCCAAATGTCAAGTTACCAGAGTGAAGAGATTGGCAGTGTTTGCCCAGCGTCGGATTCGCGTTAGTGGCCAAGTTTCTAGAATCTCCTTTGTCTTCTCATCAACACGCATTACGCTCTCCTTATTGACCCCAAAAAGACGAGGGACAAGTTTATTTTTCCCCTTCAACTTCTCCTGGATATTCAAGGCATGGAAAGAGGGAAAACAGAACGCAATGAAAGTACAAACAAGAGAAAGAAACACAAAAGCTCAACACAAATAAAAAGTCTAGATAAAATATTTAAAAAAGGTTTAAACTCAAAAGTATTAATAGAAAAATGATAAATAATAGTGCAGCAATAGTCATATGTAATGTTACGATGTAAATACTTTAAGCATGCATAAGTTTAGGAAATACCAGACATAGATTATGAATAATGACCCCAGAGGACAATCGTAAAAAATAAAGACAATATTTTTGCAAACATTACATGAAATATCATAAGAAAAAGGATATCTTAGCTGCAAAGAAAATATGTATGTCTAATAAATTCCGCTCAAAGGGGCACATTAGAACCAGGTTTAAATAAACAAGTAAGAAATTGTGAAAGTGAAGGAGTGATACGAGGATATAGGATAGGT